GAGCCAGTTCACACATTAGGATGTACTGTCATGACCGAGGGTCTACATGGGGATTTGTTGCTCTGCTCAGACCCGACAGGGCAAGTGGGTGTTGTGGTGGATGTTAATATCTCTGTTGATTTATTGGCTCCTGATGGTTCCATCATAAAAGACATCTCATCCAGAGACTTGAAACGTGTGAGGGATTTCACTGTTGGAGATTATGTGGTACATGGTCCCTGGCTTGGTAGAATTGATGATATATTAGACAATGTAACTGTGTTGTTTGATGATGGTTCTGTGTGTAAGGTTGTCCGTGCTGAGCCCATGCGTCTCAGACCATGTCCCAAGAATACACTTGAAGATGATGGGCATTTTCCTTACTACCCTGGCCAGCGTGTAAAGGCGAGCTCTTCTTCTGTTTTCAAGAATTCTCGATGGTTATCTGGCTTGTGGAAAGCTAATCGGTTGGAAGGTACTGTTACTAAGGTTACAGCTGGATCTGCATTTGTTTACTGGATTGCATCTGCTGGCTATGGCCCAGATTCTTCTACTTCCCCAACTGAAGAGCAGAATCCCAAAAACCTAAAACTCTTGTCTTGTTTTGCTCATGCGAGTTGGCAAGTGGGTGACTGGTGCCTTCTTCCATCAACGGTTCAGTCTTCCTCCATATCCTTAGATAAGGGTATATCTAAATTGAGGCTTCGTGATTCCATTAAAAATGAGGCTGATAATAGTCAACTTGAAAGTGGGTGTGATTCAGAAGACACGCAAGATGAACCAAATGAAAATGGTGAATCTACAGACTTTGATCCAGACCCTGCACTCAACAGAGATAGTGAAGGTGTTCGAAGTAAAGCATCACATCAGTCTAGCTTTTGCAGTAGTTCATTGTCAGTTTCAAAGGAGCCTGTCCTTGAACCTTGGCCTCTTCATCGGAAGAAGATTCGTAAAGTTGTGCTTAGGAAGGATAAAAAGGCACGAAAGAAAGAGGAAAATTTCGAAAGAGCTCTTTTAATCGTCAATAGCCGGACAAAGGTCAATATAGCCTGGCAAGATGGAACAATGGAACATGGGCGGGATGCTACGACCCTGATTCCAATTGATAGTCCTGGTGACCACGAATTTGTCACAGAACAATATGTGGTTGAGAAGGCCTCTGATGATGTTGATGATACTAATGAAGCTAGGCGTGTTGGGGTTGTGAAATGTGTGAATGCAAAGGACCGTACTGCTTGTGTGAGGTGGTTAAAACCAGTTGTCAGGGCTGAAGATCCTCGAGAGTTTGACAAGGAGGAAGTTGTTAGTGTCTATGAGTTGGAGGCTCATCCCGATTATGATTATTGTTATGGGGATGTAGTAGTACGACTGTCTCCAGTTTCTGTTTCAAAGCAAACATTTTCTACCATGGACTCTGTTGAGGAGCCAAAGCAGAATACTGATTTCAATGATGCTAAACGAGACGTGAAGAAGCATTCTGGATCCAAGAAAGTTGAAGGCCATTCAGCTCAAGAAGCTTCTGCAGAGTTTTCAGATCTCTCTTGGGTTGGGAATATTACTGGCCTTAAGGATGGAGATATTGAAGTAACCTGGGCAGATGGAATGGTCTCAACGGTATATTTAATCACTGATTCTTCATTTTAGTTTATTTTTTTTTGTCAATTGCTTCCAATTATCTAACTGCAAGAAAGTAGTAACTTGGCTTTTTAGGATACCATGTATTTATTTCTATTTTACTGTTTGTCCTAGTTTTTAATCCTTTGAATTAATAAAATATGTTGAGTAGAAAGTTTAGTGGCCATTTTATTTTCTGATGGACTTACATAGGGGCAAATGAATTTATTTTGGCTTCTATTCCTGACCGGTCTTGTTCCATTTGTTACATAGCTAGAATCTGTAAGACCTGATAGATAAGTGTAAAAATCTTTTTTAGGAGAAACCTGATGGTCACTCCCCCCCTGCCAGATAGATTGAGGTAAACTGGACAACAAGAGTGAGGAAGTTTGCATGTCGTATGAGGTTGACATTACTAAGCTTCATAACAATATATCATGGTTATAAATGTACTTCACCGCATTTTATAGACATGATCTTTTCCCGATTAAAAAAGTTCTTTCAAGTAATAAAGATGAAATAGTTACTGATCATAATATGATTGTTTTCCTTCTTTTAGGTTGGACCTCAAGCAATTTATGTTGTTGGACGAGATGATGATGATGAATCAATTGCTGCAGGAAGTGAAGGCAGTGATGGGGCTGCTAGTTGGGAAACGGTTAATGATGATGAAATGGATGCTCTTGAGAATGCTCAAGAGGTTTGTTTCTGTTTCATGCAAGAGCCATATATTTTTAATTCACATCCACTTGCATTCATATTCTAATTTTTCAGAGAAGCTTTGATACTCCAATTTGTTAAGTTGTGACCACTTTCATTCGTATTCTAAGTTTCGAGAGAAGCTGAATTAGTACTCCAATTTGTTAAGTTAGGAGATTTTGTTTTCCCCTCAAAGTGTAAAACCATCGAACATTAAGTTCCTCATTGTGATTAGTAAAACTGACTAATATATTCCTGATGTTCTTTGTTTATATATAATTTGGTACATTGACTGGATAGTGTGACTCCCTAATGTTTAGGATCTTGGGCTGCAAGATTCCACTGACATGAACTCTGACACAGAGGAGAGTCCTGAGAATAACTTTGGAAGGAATGCTGCACTGGCTCTCCCTTTAGCTGCACTTGGGTTTGTTACCAGACTGGCTTCTGGAATATTTTCACGAGGACAAAAAAATGCTGATTCAGATTCTAGAAGTGACAATGAACTTCAATCCCAGGGATCAGGGAATGTGTCTGAGGGAAGGGATTCTGTTGACGAGTCTAGTTCTCAGAAATCTAATTCCATTGAAAATTGTGGTGTGGAAAGCCCTCATGCGAAAGAAGAAGAACTGGTTAATGCAGAAGTCTCTATAACTTCAGATACAGAAGAAGCAGAAACGTTTCACTCCTTGAGAAGTGAAGAATCAGAATATCCTGCAGGTTGTGCTGGTGACACTAGCATTTTCAAACGGTTTGATATATCAAAAGATCCTCAGACCACTATTTTCTTGGTGCAAATGGAAAGGTACGTTTTGGTTTATGTAATTAACATGGTAGTAGGTCACCCTGAAATTCTTTTTCTGGAAAACAATTAGTTCCAGGGGTTGTTTCAACTTGAGCTGAGACTGTTGTTCGAAATTTTACATGATTGGAAATAGAACTATTGTGGTATTGAAGTATGACTCGTCGCTCATGTATCTTGGTATCTTTGTCATGCAATGCACATACGTACCCTGATAGCTTGGGGAATAAGATATATTCAACAGCTTCTTCTGACTTTCTTATGTAATAAAAATTACATATTTTGTTTTTGAATTTATGGTATTTTCTTTTTTTTCATTGATATTTGTATGGAGGTTTCAACAAGCAATCGTCTAAAAAATTGTAACCTAAAAATTTTCATCATATTCTGGTCATGCTAATTGCCTGAGGCATTATTGTGACATTGCTATCCTAATTTTATTCGCTAAATAAAATAAAACACAAGGATCAGACGTGAACTTCGGAGCCTTTTTACATGAACTTGCAGAATAGCAATGGAAGAAAGTGGTTAAAGAAAGTTCACCAAGACTGGAACATTCTTCAAAACAATCTGCCTGGTAAGCATGTGTTGGTTTATAGTGCATATAACATTTTCTTACCTTGAGAAGAATGTCATATGTACAAACATTTGGGTTAACTAGTTTCAATATTCTTGTCAGATGGGATTTATGTGAGAGTTTATGAAGATCGAATGGATCTCCTCAGGGCAGTAATAGTTGGAGCGTATGGTTCACCTTACCAAGATGGCCTCTTCTTCTTTGATTTCCCCCTTCCTCCGGAGTATCCTGATGTTCCACCGG